AAAGGTATAGAAAAAAAAGGAGAGCATTCTCAGAGCTAAAACTTCTTCAGCAGGTAGTTACATTAGTATTCAACACAGAAATAAAGTTTTAGCACTGAGTCTCTTTCCCTTCATAAATCTTTAAGGTCTTAAAGATTGACGATTGATGAGTTTCATCCGATATTTTGCAGAACAAGTTTGACTGACTATTTTACATAAAAGAAACATTAATATAATGTTAACTTGAAGTTCATTTTATGCTGAAGACAATGGTTTTTGAATTTTTCTGATATCTTAAAAAATAGCTTGGCAATTAAACTTTCCGCAAACCTTGTATTTTACTAAAATCGGCAAAACCGCCATTTTAAAATGGCCGCCAAAAAAAACTATGGTTTGTAAATTTTTTTCAAATGGTGTTTTGTGATTGTCTACCTATAGGGAACCCATAATACAAAAATTAGGCAAATAAAAAATGTTGAGCAACATGACCTGGGTGATTTGAAATGGATTGACCCATGTATAAAAAGGATAATTATTTAACATTATTATATGAATAACTAAAATTTTAACTCTAAATGAAACCCCGCCTCACTTTATGGTTTCTTTCGTTTAAACACAAAGGGTTTTCTGTCGACCAGTGTTGATTGTTCTTTGGGTTGAACATGCCGTCATTTGAAAAAAAAATGTTTCATCTGTCCAAATGATGCGATGCAGGAAGTTTGGGTTTTCGATGAACTGCTCGGACAGCCAAGCACAGAACATCATCCTCTCTTCATCACCAGGCATCAATGCTTAAAGTGGCGTAAACTTTGTAGGCATGGTAGTTGTTTGTACGAAGAGTTTTTTGTATTGAGCCTGATAATAACTGATTCATCTTGGCAACATTCCTAGGGATGTGCCTCAAGTAAGCCATAATATCTGCCTCGACATCTCCCGTTACGACTCTTGGTTGGCGCTGTCTCTTCTTGATAAATGTCTTCTTTCTACATTGAAAAACCCTTCATACATGTCTAATTTGTAACTATTAGCAAACGCCATTCATACCAAATAAAATAAAAACACTGAATAAATCTTCAATAGTTTAATACATCTTTATGATCTGCAAATATCTGAATAAAAATTGGTCAATGAAATATCTGTAAAACATTTGAAGAAGAAATATTCCTTAAAGATTCAATACTGCATATTTTCAATTAAAAACCCTGAATAGAGCAGAACGAGTAGAATATTATTGTTTCACAAGTGAAACATAAAATTAATTATGAAGTTAATCTCAGATAAATGAAACAGTTGGTAAAATAGTTAATCTAATCATCCACTAGTTTACAAGAATATGTTAATTGATTTCATTAAACACCCACACAACTTGTTTCTTATAAATGAAAAAATAAGGAAAATAATGAATCTATGTTTGTAAAGATAGGCAGTCTATTTTCTGGACTCGCACAGTTAAGTATTTCTTTCAGTGATATTCTCAGCGATGCGATCAGTTCCATTTTGTGGCCCGATACCCAGTCAATGGCGGCAACCCTCACTGATAACGGGCTGATAACACCAACACTCTCTCTCCTGAATGCGCCGTCATTTTATCACTTTCTCTTTCAAAGAAGCCACCGAACATTTTCCAAGCATTTAGAATAGAATCATTGGATTCGTTTCATTTCTCACTGGTATTGGACTCGTGGAACTCATCAATATCTAACCAAGATAGGCCGATTACGTAAGTGTAAGTAGTAATGAACATACATTAAATTATACGAGGCATGTTTTTTAAGTACGTACCGTTTTTAAATTTCTACGTTCCAGCACTGCGATTGGCATTTTTGACATTTGCCCTGTGTATGGGCATCTATTCGTAAGACCTAGCCGGAAATTCAAGAAAAATCGGCCGTGTTTACATCCGGTGTCGAGCATTCAAAATGGTGCCGCCAATTGAGACTGCCGCCGGCTGTGATGTGCGCGCTGTAATTAGATTTTTAAGTGCTAAAGGTGTGAAGGCCATTGAAAATCATCGATAGATTAGTGAAGTGTATAGCGAGAACATTTTGAGTGCCATAATGGTACGCAAGTGGATAAGGGCATTTTAAGACGGTCCCACCAACGTTCATGATGAGCAACGCACTGGGCGGCGTCATTACTGTCCCCGTACCCAGTGCGTTGCTCATCATGAACGTTGGTGGGGCCGCCTTACCTACCTGCGTACCATTCCGTCACCCATAATGCTCTCGCCATACACTTCACTAATCTATCGATGATTTTCAATGGCTTTCACACCTTTAGCACTTAAAAATCTAATTACAGCGCGCACATCACAGTCGGCGGCAGTCTCAATTGGCGGCACCATTTTGAATGCTCGACACCGGATGTAAACACGGCCGATTGTTCTTGAATTTCTGGCTAGATCTTACCAATAGATGCACCTACACAGCGCAAATGTCAAAAATGCCAATTGCAGTGCTGGAACGGAGAAATTTAAAAACGGTACTTACTTAAAATACCCCCGCCGCAGCAAACCTGCCGACTAAGCGAATTTCCATTTGTCTGAATTGATTTTCAGTTAAATATATTTTAATAACATTAGGTTTAACGAGTACCTAGGTTTGCTGCTACAAGGAAACTAATAAAGTGTGTTTTTGAGTAAAATATTGATAGCTTAGTACAAAATAAATAAATTTTCCAAGTTTGATCAAAATATATCCACAAACAAGCAAACTACAACATTTGACAATATTCTCCATAAGAATAACATGGGAATTTTAAATTTACAATTTTTTTAATTTTCTCCGTTACTAATAATCGAACAAAAATACTTTTATATACTAAATTATTTGTTTTTTAAGCTCTTTAAAAAGGTCTAAAGAGAAATCGGGAAATTTTGCGTTTTGAGGGTCAAAAGTGAGAAAAACCAATTTTTACCCCATAAAACCCCCCGTAAAGCCCCGTTCCCATGGTCCGATCGTGCTGGTTCGCGAACTCATTCAAGTTTATCCCGCTTTACACCTTTAAACCAAATTTCATCAAAATCGGACAAAAATTACTCAAGTTATCGCGTTCACGGACGTATATATATATACAAGTCTATATATATATATATACATATATAAAAATTTGAACGAATGGTGTTTTTGGCCTCTGGGGACATCAAAATGAAAAAGTAAATTGGTCCCGGGTCTAGGTCTTACCATGCCACCTACGGTAATAGCTACTTCCCTATAGGGAAATTCGCTAAAACATGCCTCGTAGTAAGGACTTATAAAACATTTTACTAATTTCTAAAGAATATTACATTTATAAACTAAACTTAATTACTTAATACTATTTCCAGACATTTTAGAGATAGGAAATGCAGCAAATACGAGCTGAACTAACAGATGGTATGAACTGTCACTTTGGTAATCCTATTGAGCTGATCTATAACTCGATATTTTCCATCACAACGGTAGCCGTTTAATTATGCTGTCACAACTAAATTTGTCGTTATAATCTATTCAAGGGAAGCAACAACAACAACTTGATTAAATGCTGGCAACACAGCACTCAACGGAGTGTCCAGATGCAACTGACTCCTTGGCGTTGCCTTGCTTTGGACTTTGAACCGAGAGTAGGATCACCGGTGATAAAATCATTATGTTTACACGTCTAAAACTAGGTAATTTATTGTTACACTCGAATAAATAAAGAATTAGTGGTGTTATAGGTGTTGTTGGCGTAGACCATTGGACTGCAGTTTGCCAGCCAGGTGGGTAAACACATTGTGTGCCGTTGGAGGTTTCGTTTCAATTGACAGCTTGACACTGAAGGTTTCTTCTATTTTATGCACCTAGTAGCAGGCGCACAAACATTGAGTGAATACGATGATGCCGCTGGGGATGTGCATCGTAATCGTTCAACATATTCTTGTACAAAAACATGAACCAGTCCCTTAAGTGAGACGCTCTCTAGTGACGTGACTGCGAGTACTAACTCAGTAATGTCCGAGGCTACATTATCAAGACAGCGATCTACCCTGGCTATGTTACACCACCGTGTTGAGAACCCCTGGCATGTTTGAGTATAATACATTTGCGATGACCACGGCAACTTACACTATCATGGCATTACGATCAACTCGGGCTGGGTATGATGTTAGAATAAGTGAAGTTACAAGAAAAAGTCACGTGGTGCTGATGAGTTTCTTATCTTCTTCAGAGGCTCATCATCGTATCGTAACTTTCGTTTCTTTGGCTGAAAATGCTTCTCTTTTTACTCCAGGCAAACTGTTTTTGATTTGTTATTACAAGTTTACTGAATACCTATTTTTATCGTAATAAAATATTTGCCTAAGTAGAAAGTAATTAGTTTTTGTAAAGTATCAGTTATATTTAAGACACGTTTTAGTTTTCTTAAACAAGTAAATTCATATTTTAATCTGACAATAAGAGACGATAATCTCTAATAATCGATATTATTATTTGCATTCATTGAGCATTAATTAGTTCAGTGTGAAAAAAATGTTTCCTATACGAAACATATCAAATTATATCAATCTCGAAATTTTAATTGATTAAGAACCTCATGTAATAAATTTGTAGGTCATCTTAATATAAACAGATCTTGTAACCACAAGTAGTGTTAACATCCTTTCTGGCTGTCACTATCCAAAATGTTTCTATAAACGGCTTAATTAAATCATGCAAGTTTCTTATTTCCAATCCATTTTATTCGATTGAGCAATTTTAGTTTTGCCTTATAATTATTAACTAAGATGTAATTTAATGTTATTGACTGTCATTAGTTGTTTATCTTTGTACCTGAAGAGTTAAAATTATGAATATAATAAAAATCTAAACAATTAGGATATGTGTAATTGTATATTTACTCGCCCAGGGATATAAGATTAAAAAAGGTAATAAAAAGAATTTTCCAGTAGTATTTTATGGCATTCAAGAAATTTACTTAAAACATATGTTTTTTATTTTCATTTTAGGTAAAGTATAATAATATTTGGTATGTAATACTGGATTTTGCTCTTCTTGTTTCAGTGGTCACTGCCAGCTGGGAGGAGTGGTGGACATATGATGGTATATCAGGTCAGTACTCCGTTCATTTACAAACAATTCGGTAATACCACAAAGACAGTTTTCTGATCAACTTGTTATACCATTGGATTACTGTGGTTAATGATAGAAATTATTAAGGTAATGTAGGAGGATATTTTATTTAGTAATTTAAGTGTGGATAATTAAGCTGTGATCGATTTTATTATTCCTCTTAACTGTTCAAATGCAACAGTTCAATGAACTGGCTATGTAATATATTAATGCCAAGAAATGTGTACAGCCATGGCATTAACGATACAAAATATTTAACGGTAGCTCGGATTTCGTAAACAGAATTTGTAATTTGTAAATGAAGATATAAGTCAGTCGCCTGTGGCAACTTATAATTTTAGCTCCGCTCCTAAACCAGCTTATACTAAAGCTGCTATAAAATGAGCCATAGATCATGGTTAGAATCGAAATATTTCTATGTCCTGTAAGAAATTATGAAAATAAAGAAATTAAGCAATGTGGATGTGATCGATTATTTACATGTTGACTTTAGTGAGAGTAAGAAAAATTGAATGTGGAGACAAATTGTAACTAAAACAAAATCTTATGACAAAATACGTAAAAAAAGAAATTTGGTTTAAGTATATATGCATTTGCACATCATAAAAACGACATAACATTACTAGGTATTATAATACTACAAAATAATTTTATGGAATGTAGATTCCCTTAAGGAATGAGGGTAGAAACAAATGTTTGAAAGGAAACGGCAAACAGCAAAGAAATAACAGTTTTGATTTTATACAATCGAATAAGGCGATTCTGTCCCAAAGGCAAGAGCCAATAAACTGAATTGTGAGCAAGGCTGTCTGAGCAGCGACCCTTCACACCCCATTCTGTCTTTGCTTACATCTCACTCGCTTGACGCAAAATAGATATTCTAACACTCGACGAGGAGTCAAACTGTGAAAACCACACCACACAACCAACCATTTGTGTCACCAGTTCAACAAATTATATTGAGTGTATGGTACCAAATTATAAAAAAAATGTATAGATTTAAATGTGTATGACCTATTATGGACCAATCACGTGTCTGTGTCAATTATAAAAATCAAATCTTACTAATATTACAAATGTGAAAGTTTGTGTGTTAGTTTGTTTGAAGTTCAATTGCGTATTAACTACTAAAACTAAAATTGGATTGAAATTGGATTGAATTGGATTGGGCTTAAATTTTCCTACAGTTACCTAACAATATACATGTTCTCTCACTGATTTGAGAAAGCAAAGTGGCCAATTCGCTCATCAGTGAGACAATGTTAACATTGTCTCACTGTAATTACTTTGTCTCACTCCAGATTTGCAACGTGAATGCACGAAAGTGGCCAATTCGCTCATCAGTGAGACAATGTTAAAACTGTCTCACTCTAATTACTTTGCCTCACTCCAGATTTGCAAAGTGAAGGCACGTTTCTTTACCAATTTATTTATTTTGTGGTAACTGTAGGAAAAATATAACGTGCAACTCGAGTGCAAAGTGCAATTGCCTCACTCAAGAGAAATCCTTACTCACGAGCCGTAGTTGCACAAATAACTATTACCAAAGTGGTTAAATTTGCTTGAAAAGACTCCATTTTAATTACAGAAAATGAAGCCTGGAATAATTTATCTTAAATGATCTGACAGTACGATAGAATTTAGTATTTAAGCAGCATACAAACATACTTTTCTAAATTGGTAAGAATCAAGTGCCGAAAATGAGTTAACATTTAGTAGCCAACTGCAAATGTATTCTTAACAATTTTATTGAACTTAAAAAAGGATTTAGTTCACAAAGGTTTCTCATCAAATGTCTTCCATATCTTATTTGTAACTTTTGTTGATTTACTACATCTTTCGAATATATTTACAAGGTCACGACTATTTGAGAAACTCCCATCCCATCGGCTAGTGAGAGCTGGAGCTACCCCGAGGGTGACTGGGGATGTTAAGGTTCACTGGGCTTTCCAACTCGGCCTCACAATTCATTTTATTGCTTGCTCAGTCCCTGGAGCCAGCCCTTTCTTACTTTACACCCTTTTTATCAGATTCTATACAGTCTCAATAGGTTCAATTCCTTTACGGGCATAAAGAGCTTTGTCCTTTTTACTTCTCAGGCCTTTGAATTTTGTGAATTAAAAAGCGACTACTCTGAATATAGAAAATAAAATGTTGAATACTGAGTAAATATTGTAAAAAATTGTAAAATATTGTTGGGATATGAATCCTAGAATTTTCGGAACCTCAGACAAAAATATTAGACTTAAAATTAAATAGGGTGTCTTACTCTCATCACACCTTATAAAATAAACCTCTGGTTGACCATCATGGAATAAACCACTATCTAATAATTCATAATCCATTTAAGGGCAGGATCTATGTTGTTACCAATTTTAGTAAATTTCCCAACTTTAACTTTAATACTTTTTTCAATGAAATGGCGACCATATAAAGTAGGTAACAATCAATTGACGTTATTGATTAATAAAAAAAACACATCATACACAGAATTTTGTGTTTTCCCAACTAACTACAGGTGCATTTTTGTATAGCATGCGTCGTTTAGGAGTTGTAAGCCGAAAACTGGTCAAATAATCAACCTTTTGGCCATGTTATTGAAAATATTCCAACTTTGAAAAGCTACAGCGGCTAAACAGCTCGGCCGATTTTGACGTATTTAACATCAATCGACGCGGAATTTAATGCACTAAAAGACACCTGTGAACAACAATTTCCTTAGAATTCGTTATTTAGGAGTTATAAGCGAAAAACTGAAAAAAGTGCAAAATTTTCATAGTTTTTCGACTCCCAAAACTTAAGCAGACGTTTATTACTGTTTGACATTGTAATAATACATTTTTATTATTTATAAAATGATAACTAGATTATTATTTACAATTTTGTTATTGGTGTTTTTGTCACTTTATTGTATTTTACTAGAATAGCAGAAAGCTAAATCTTAGTTTTTATTGTCAAAGTCTGTTTCATTTCCTTGTTCCGTGTTCCACAATTTACATTTTTACTGCTTAAAGACTAAATCTCATCGTCCTCAGGTTATATGTTTCATCATAACATGCTAATACCACGACATGTTGAAAGTTTAGTTACCTGATCTCAGGTCGCCTGAGGCTCTCTCAAGTCTTCTACACACACTGACGAGTAATTACATGAGAACCGTTTCTGTCAGCTGTTCGATAAGCTCATTTGAAAACTGAATATTACAGATTACTCCAAACGTCTTGCCTACAGCGATTCTAGGTGCGACTTTTGTATACGCATCAATTAGACGTAATAGATCGATTAAAGCTAAGACGATTTGTATGTTAGCTGTCAGTTAGTTTGGTCACCGATCTTAGGAACTGTTTCATAAACAAGTATTCAATGTGAAGTACAGTAAAACGAAATTTTAAGGGACAAAAAGACTAATATATTTTTTTATTCCAAAAGCGCTTTCGACGTTTTAAAGCTAACGAAAAGTAAACGTTTATAGTAAATTAATTTTAAATAAAATTAAACAGATGATAAATATTTGAAAAACATTAATTTTTATTTTTTATATTCATTACAATGTTTATCTCGATGTAATTAGTTAAAGTATTTCAGAGGTAATAATTGGACCGTCTTCATTATTTAGCAAATAATTTTGGCCTGTTTTCCTATAAAATAAGATTACCACGCATTATAAGATGTTGATGTCTCATAATTGAATATACAAGTTTAATTTTTTTAAATTGAAGAAATGCCCTGTATTGATACGGTGGCTAGCAATAGCAGAGATTTTCTTCCGTATTCGCATGGCTTTCGTGTTTTTTTTCCTTTTTTTTCAATTTAGTTTGGATTTTTTGTTTTGTTTAAACAATAAATTTCATATTGCAATCATTACAATTAATTTCATTTAATAATTTAATAAGCATTCAATGCTTATAGCCCAGGCAAATTAGACATATGCTCCCCAAAAAATCGTCTAAAGCTGGAAAGTGTTTTAATACCTTTTGGGGGTCCCAAATAAGAGTCCTGTGAGTTTGCGACGGATTCTGACGTCTGCTTAAGTTTTGGGAGTCGAAAAACTATGAAAATTTTGCACTTTTTTCAGTTTTTCGCTTATAACTCCTAAATAACGAATTCTAAGGAAAATGTTTTTCACATATGTCTTTTGGTGCATTAAATTCCGCGTCGATAGATGTTAAATACGTCAAAATCGGCCGAGCCGTTTACCCGCTGTAGCTTTTAGCGACAACATAGATCCTGTCCTTAAATGGATTATGAATTATTAGATAGTGGTTTATTCCATGATGGTCATCCAGAGGTTTATCTAATAAGGTGTGATGAGAGTAAGACACCCTATGTAATTTTAAGTCTAATATTTTTGTCTGAGGTTCCGAAAATTCTAGGATTCATATCCCAACCACCCATTCATTATACAGGGTGAGTTTTAATTGTCCCCCCCAACTTTTTTCAACATTTTTTCGAATATCAATCCCAGACCACTTCCAAACATTGTTGGGTAGTAAGTACTTCATTTTGACAAGGTGGTCATTTCCGGCCGCCATCTTGGATCCGCCATATTGGATGCAAACTATTTTTTCCACATGTGAAGGGGGTGTTGTGACCCATCATTTCGAACTATCTTTTTAAGCTAAACTCAATGCCGCAATCAATTTTTTGTTACCAAGTTTTATTTATCAAATATTGAATTTTTTTTGTTAAAAATGTCTATATTTCAACATCAAAATATCAATATGAAAAACGGATCATGGAATTGAGTTTAACTTAAAAAATAGTTCGAAATTATGGGTCACAACACCCCCTTCACATTTAAAATAATTCATCACATTTCAAAATGGCGGATCCAAGATGGCGGCCGATAAAAATACATCACCCATAACCAAGTGAAAATACGTCGATAATGACTGGTAGTGTATACTTATCTTTATCTAGCACTATTTTGAGATTATGGTCTTAGTTTGTGCATGCACAATGTTAAAATGGGGTAAAAA